ATCCCTGTTGGATGTTGTCGTACCATCCCCCAGGTTTTCCCCGTCTTGCCCGTCGGGATTGAGATGAGATCAATAGATCTGTTGGATTGTTGGAGGAAAAGTACTTGTTTGAACAACAGCCCATTACAGACGGTCTTTTCGGGATCGCGATGTGTTTACACAATGGAGTTGTCCCTTGAGTAATGACGATACTGGAGAACTGGTGCTGACGTGGAGACTTTCGTCTAAGCTCCGCAGATACATTGAGAGGAACAGGGCTGCCTTGGCCGCTGACGGTACTGTATGTTCATGTACCTGACGGGATATATATTGATGATGAAATCGTGATCCCCCCAGAAACAATGACCTCAATCTCCTCAATTGGTGGCTGGACGAGTCAAGTGAGGGGCAATGACCTCAGATTATTGGGCTTTTGCAACTGCACCAAGGCAGCTGCAGATAGCGGAGTCAACATAAACTATTGAATTTGGACGGCGAGAGATTAAGTTGGACTGACAACGGAGGGCCATAACAGTGACAGAGTAGGGCCATAACAAAAACACCGGCAAGGCGGCGCTCACGTGGCCGGGCCGCTCAATGTTGTTTTTGGGGGAGGGGGAGGGAGACCGGAGGGAGGCTGGAACCGAGATTTGTTGTGTTTCCGGGACGGGGTGTTTGTTTGTTAGGGGATCGTTATGGATACTACGTACTAGCAAATTTACACTTTACTGGGTAACGGGAAGTTAGCTTAGTAGTTACTCCGTACTAACTGACCAAACCACCCCCCCCTGTCAGCTTATCTAACAAGCCCTCAGAGCCTGAGGCATTCCACGTTTCCCTGTCAACCGCCCGCACTAGACCTGAATGGGTTCACCACAACATAACAGCAGCCACTTAGCGTGCATCGCAGTTGCCCCAAACGAGTCTCCCATCGGCCTCGAGCCTATCCTCTTCTCGTGCAAGCCAACTTTTTCCTCACCTTCCTCTCTTCCTCTCTTCGTCCTCTCTGGTTATTATAAACTCGACCTTCGCCCACCCCGCGGATCATCTGTACATCCTCCCCTACTCGGCCTTGCTGCCTCTATCCTTACCCTACACGCCAATCCCCCCGCGTCTTTATAGCTTCTTCATCTTGTGCTTGGGAGTGTCAGTCAGACCAGACCATGACTATCTAGCTCCGACATCTTGCTTGCATCCCATCTCTGTTTTTCACCAGCAGAGGTCCTGACCATCCATAGCGGCATCTTATCTATTTAGACCGACACATCCTAAAAATTCTTCTTTCGAAGAGGTCTTGCGATTGTTTATTATCCGATTCCATTGTCGGCGCCTATTGTTTTGGTAGCCGCGTCAATACAGTCAAGATGTCTACACGCAGCGGCGACTATGGGCAGGTGATTGAGTATATTCAAGGTTCGTTATCCAACATCATCTTGGGGCAGCATCGGCGGGAGATGTGAAGGTCTTCGCTTGTTATCCGATGGCTTGTGTTTGCAGTGTACTGAGATTCTTCGCTCTAGACCGTCTCTACCTGGCCTCTTACGATTATCCCCCCGATGCGAGAACGCCTTTTCCCTACCCTGAACAACCCAAGTCTCCCAGCAAGCGATCTGCCAGAGCTCAGCCCAGTACTCCCAGCAGCAAGAAACGCAGCCCCGTATACTTTACTGTCGACGATGTTCTCCTATACAACTCGTTCCACGCCGACTTCGGTCCCCTGCATATCGGGCATCTGTATCGCTTCGCAGTACACTTCCACGAGATCCTGGGAGATCCCGCCAACACTGATCGCGCCGTGGTTTTCTACTCCAAGACGGACTCACGCAGCCGTGCCAATGCAGCCTGCCTAGTCGCTTGCTATATGGTCCTCATCCAATCTTGGCCTCCACACCTGGCCCTGGCTCCCATCGCACAGGCAGATCCGCCATACATGCCATTCCGCGACGCTGGATACAGTCAGGCGGATTACGTCCTCAACATCCAGGACGTTGTATACGGAGTGTGGAAGGCCAAGGAGCAGTCGCTCTGTGGCTTGAGAGATTTCAGCCTAGAAGAGTAAGAGCAGCCTTACGCGTATTTTTAGTTCAAACGCTGACTGGGTGACTACATAGGTATGAGAAGTACGAGCGTGTTGACATGGGTGACTTCAACTGGATCACTCCACAGTTCCTGGCCTTCGCTTCCCCGCAACACCAACCCATCGATGTCATTCCTCGTGACACTCCTGAATATGCTGCGCTGCCTTCTACCATTGCGGAAGTCCAGGCCTCGAAACTCCCCACGCCCTTTAAGAATGTTTTGACCCACTTCTCCTCCCGTAGCGTGGGCCTTGTTGTGCGACTGAATTCCGAGTTGTACTCGCCATCATACTTCACGGCATTGGGAATCAATCATGTCGACATGATTTTTGAGGACGGTACTTGCCCGCCTTTGCCCTTGGTACGCCGATTCATCAAGATGGCACATGAAATGATCACGCAAAAGAAGAAGGGCATTGCGGTCCACTGTAAGGCAGGCCTTGGCCGCACTGGATGTCTCATTGGGGCCTATCTCATCTACAGATATGGCTTTACTGCCAATGAGATTATTGCTTTCATGAGATTCATGCGCCCTGGAATGGTCGTTGGACCCCAACAACACTGGCTGCACCTCAACCAAGGCTCGTTCCGTGAGTGGTGGTTCGAGGACAGCATGAAGGAGAAGCTCGCTCAACTGCAGTCGGCGCCTATCACGCCTGGCCGGCCGACTACCCGCCAGCGGGCTAACGGGCCTGTCGCGACTCCACCTAATAATGGCCATTCTAAGCGTGCCGCTCTCGGGGAGATTGACCACAATGAGGGGGCTGGCACTCAAGCCGAAGAGAACCTACCAGCACCCACACCCGGCCAGCCTCGCAAGTCCCACCGCAAAGACTCTCGTCACCACCCCTACTCTCGCACCACTTCTGGTAGTCTGATCCTGGAAAAGGAGACGAACAAGACATCCAATCACCTCAGTACCGACAGCAGCGAGAGTGAAGAAGAAATCCAGTTGCGTATGCTAGCCAAGCGTTCCTCAAGATCCCCCGTGGCATCTCCCAACCAGCGGTCTGTCAGCTACTCAGCTACTGTGACCGCCAGTTATACTCTCAACGATGATGATCGGGAGAACTGGGGTGATTCAGCTACATATGCACCCAAGACACCAATAAGCAGCAAGAGCGGCAGCGGGGCGATCTCTGTCACCAAGGTTCGCACGAGCCCAAGACGTGTGACGGATAGCCGCGCAGAAAAGGGCGTTCGCAAGGCTAGTGGACGTGTTGGCAGCGCTGGAAGTCCTACTCGAGTGAAGTGAGAGCGCGATTGATCGCTGCCGCTTTCATCATCTTTGCTTTCCTTCCTCTGCTTTCAGATATCCACTTCGTATTGTTTATTCTCTTCTTCTCCGCGGGGCATAATCTGTGCATAGCTCCAAAGTTTCTTGTTTTATCATCGGCTTGCATATCTGCATTGTCTATTCCTCTTGAGGGAGTAGTGTCTTCGAGGTTTCTACTGGTGTTGGTGTCTGGTGCGGTTCTCATGGGTCTGGGCAGGAGCTTCCGAGGCGTTCGGTGCGTTGTGGACTATGGGATGATCTAGAATTTTGACTCAATACAATCAGTCTAGTGATTAGCACGTTATGATCATGACAATTGACACTGTACGTACACGATCTACGTCGGAATGACAAATTGGTTGATGACCGATCACGTAAATGACATAAGCGTTCATATTGCCTGAACTTCCAAGAATCTCCGAGGGATCGATTACCTTCTGACAGCTTGTCTCCGTCCTGGTGTTGTGGCCATTGCATTGTCTTGTAGAGACATCCTATTGTTGTACCTTACTCCCTTGATAAACCTCTTCCCAGCCTGATATCTCTAACCTCGACGTGGATTCCCCGCACCATACCGATGCCTTGCCTCCCTACCCCAATGGTGATCGTGCCGATGCGCATAGGCTTTCCATTCTCTGACCCGATCAAGAAGTACGTTAATGGAGATCAAGTTGGCAAGCGGACTAAGAAAGTGATAAGTACCGGCTACGAGGATCTTACAATTACCTGTAATTCCGATTTTTACATGGAAGCATTAGTAGTCTCCGATCACAGTAATTCCAGTTATGTATGTTAAGCCCTAGACACCGTACCATGCCTGTGTAAAGCTCATCAAGTTAGTCTCACAGCCGAGGCGAAGAGAACCGGGAGGCACCTGAGCCCATAGTCCCGGAAACCACGCACGCTATGTGATCAGGCCGCCCGGCCACTTACTGTACTGTACTGTACAGTCTCGACAACGACAAACTACATGCCAGTTTCCTTCGGCCATCTACCCTATATCAGCACCGTTCAAACCTATTCTAGTTCATCTTAGTGCGATATCCACTTAGTGCAATATCCACAGGTTATTCATCGATAGTGCCGTGATATGTTCCGTTGAGAGTCTCGTCAGCACGGCATCGCAACGAGAATTACCTCGTCCGTACTTCCTTACTAGTAGATTGCATAAGGAGTGGTATCGAATGCCAGGCAGGGTCATGCTTGGCTCGATGTGGAGAAAGTGGTTGACGGTGACGGTATTGGAGCGAGTGGATGGAGATGGGGGTCGATTAGAAAGAAAGCTATCCTAGGTTTGTTTGCGGCTGATTGGGACGACTGTGAGAAGGTTGCAATCTACTAAGTTATTGTTCCGGGTCGTAAGAGTTGAGGCTATGAGTGAAACAGGATGTGCAGAGTGTGCATGGAATATTATGAACTGTGCGATGGACGATGGACCCACGGTTGGGTTTATGCGGTTGGACTTTGGAGGGTTCGGGTACTTGGAGATGTAGCGCATGTTCTCAGCCAAGGGTCTGCTTGGGAACTAAAATGTAGCACGTAGCTGACGCATCTGGGATCATGCTGAGAAGGTAGGGCCGGAGATGCATAGTACTGAGAAGGATTGAGCCGGGCTGATTCGAAACTCCTTCGGATTGTCTTCTTGAGGGGATTTGGTTTGCCCTTGTGTTACAATGCTGGGAAGTCTACACATTACAGTGCAGTACAGTCCAATCTGTCTCTAGCAAGCCTCTTGCTTCTCACAAGCCCGGTCTCGACGCCACATTATGCTCATAATAGACCAGCCGGTCCCTTGTTGCCGCCCACACGCTCGGTCTCCGAAATAGCCCAGGCGAGGCACGGATGCCACTCCGCTGAAAGAATCTGACGAGTAGCATGGACGACATCTCTGGGGAGAGTGCCAAACCAGACACAGGTGCTCCGCCAATGCAAGATGACCATATAATTCGCGAGGACGCAGAGCGCCACCGGCGCGCCTACATGGACCTCGGTCCAGAGCTCCGAGGTCACACACGTTGGGAAGTATCCATACGTCATATGCGTGTTATGATACTCAATCGCGATGAGAAGGGCTGTTCTCAAGGTTTGAAGGGCTGAGGTATACATCGTCGCGTGGGTCGTCGGGAGACCCGCTGCCGAGAGACGTCGCCGGATGGCGTCAAGCGCAGCCTCGATCTCCGCGGGAAGCTTGCGGTCTGGATCCGAAGGTGGCGGAGGATACAAGGAGACCCAGGGGGTAAGAGCCGATGAACCCTCGTGCTGGAATACGACGCTGTGCGGGGACCGGTGCAAGAGAACGAGAATATTATGTATGGTTTCGATGGGGCTTCTGGCGGGTTGTTCGGTGCAGACTTGGATCCTGAAGGCATAAGCGATCACGAAGGATTGGAAGGCAAAAAGCGCACCGACGGTGTCTGGGTTCTGGCCTGGATGGTTGTTGGTTAGATATGGCCGGACGGCGGCAACTGCCAGACCGTAGTGATTGGTCGCCAGAATGATGTGCTCCTTGCGGCGGGAGACGCCATGTAAAGCCATATCTAAGGCGCTGATGCTCAACAGCCCGTACTGGAGAAAGTCATACTGGGAGGCGAGCTCCGGAACCCGATTGGACCAGATTGAGGGATCCGTGTGCCCCGGATGGGTCACCTCGAGCATCGCTTTGGCCGTATGCAGGGTGTAGTGGTTCATCAGCCGTAACCGGTCTCGCTCCAAGACCGACAGCAACTGCATTTCCGGCGCCGTCGTTCGGTCCGATCTCGCTGTGGATCCGGTGGTGTTGGACGATGACGGCGACGACGACGATAGTGAGGAGAACGTAGTCGTCGGCGGTGACGAAGTATTGCTCGCCCCAGCGGGTCTACTGAACGAGGCCAGGCTAGGCTCCCCCAACACAGCTTCATTATCAATTCGACCGCCCGTCGGCTGCTGAAATGGGATGAATGTGAGAGCAGGGGATTGACTCGTTAATGAACAAGCGGACCCTATTCTCTTGCAACGTCCACAGGTCGGCGGCCTCTTCTCATCACACTGGATCGATAAGCATCCGGACTAGCTGCAAGGAACCGAGCACACCTTTGTCCGATTCCTCTTGCATTGTGAGCAACCGTGACGGCTCTTCTTGTGGAACCGTCGTCGTAGAGGCATTGGAGCAGGAGGGAGTACCGGTCGAGGGAAGTACCGGTACTTCAAACTGAGCAGACAAAATGCGAGTCTGTCCTACACGGATTGTTTTGATCTTAGATCTTCTCTGAATCAGTGTCGTGATGTAATGATCTTCAGGTACCAGATTCGGAGTGTGTAATTGTGGAGCGAGGACAAGCAGATCTCAACTGACAGTCCAAGTGCAGAGACCCCACAGGTCGTGGTCAGGGGTTTGAGGAGGTGGAAAGGATGAAAGAAAGAAAGATCAACTCCGGGGGGGGGGGATGCGCAGGCGGGATTAGAACTAAAGTCCGTCCGCTATCGCCAGACTGGCTGGCACCTTGTCCTGTTAGTGACTGTCCTGTACATCATACATCATACAATGAAAAAAGCAACTCCCCAGGTATGAAAATAGAAATCTCCATACCAACCAGATCCCCGAAGGAATAGGCTGGGCAAGTACTTAAGTAGCGCATCAGACCAAACCAATGGACTAGATCCACTTGTACCACATGCCATCCCCAACCTCACATTCGCACCCCCTCCCCAATCCCCCCAAACTCCCAAACTCGCCCATCGCAATATGGTTAACCTCGACGTGATCCACGCCTCCAACACCACCCTGGTCAAGAGCCAACCCCTGGTAGCCGTCTTCTTCGGCGGCACCTCGGGGATCGGCCACTACACCCTGCGCGCCCTGGCCACCGCCGAATCGCAGCACCGAGGCAAAGGCCTGCGCGCCTATCTCGTGGGCCGCAAGGCCCCCGCCGCCGAGACCATCATCGCCGAATGTCGCACCCTGTACCCGGAGGGCGAGTACATCTTCGTCCAGGCGCACGACCTCTCGCTGCTCCGGGACGTCGATCGCGTCTGCGCCGAGATCCTGTCCCTGGAGCAAGAGCGAGAGCGAGAGCGCGAGCAAGGGCAACCAAGCGCCGCCCCGAATCCACGAATCGACTACCTGATGCTATCCCACGGCGGAGCGCCGTTCCAACCCAGAAAAGGTAAAAATCTTGCTGGATTTCACTTTTTCTTCTTCTTCTTCTTCTTCTTCTTCTTCTTCATCCTCGACAGAGAAATGGAAAGACAAAAAAAAAGTCAAGATCGATAGAAAAGGTAAAAATCCTATGCTACTTGCTTACTTACGCAAAACCGCAAACGCACCCAGATACCGCCGAAGGCCTGGACACGACAATGTCCCTCCTCTACTACTCGCGCATGCGAGCCGTCACCAACCTCCTCCCTTTACTCCTCCAATCCCCGCTGCCCGTGACAATCGTCTCCGTCTACGCCGCGGGCTTTGAAGGCAAACTCTACACCGACGATCTCTCGCTCCGCAATTCCAAGCTCTACAGCTACACGCAGGCGCGCTCGCATATGATTTACATGCACACGTGGTTCATGGAGCAGCTGGCCGAGAGGCACCGCGGCCGGTTGCGACTCGTGCATATCTTCCCGGGCTTGGTGCTGGGGCCCGCGTTCGCGAACCCGGAGCTGCCGGCCTGGTTCCGGGGGTTCTGGCGCTGGGTGTTCGTGCCGCTTCTGGGGCGCTGGGTGTCCGTGCCGGCGAAGGAGTGCGGAACCCGGATGCTGAGCCTGGCGTCGCCGCGTTATCCGCCGCGAGGAGGAGGGGCGGGCGGTGCATCGGCTTCGGAGGGGGGTCATCTCCAGAATAATGGAGATGTGATGATGGGAACGGATGGTCACCTGGGGAGTGGGGTCTACTCGCTTGGCTGGAAAGGTGAGTCGAATATCCAACTCAAGGCCTACGAGAAGTTCGATCTGGCGGAGATGAGGGCCAAGATCTGGGAGCATACGATCAAGGCTTTCGAGACGATCGAGAGGGGAGATGTTTTCAAGGGTTGAGATGGGGGTCTTTTGATGATACGGTTGTCTCAGTGTAATCAAGGTAGTAAGTCTACGCAAATGACTGATGAATTGGTTTTATGGTAGCAAGCGATCCTCAAATTGGAAAAGCTGGATGTAATATGCCAGGTACTGTACGTCAAGGTGCGAATACAATTCTAAAATTGAGGAATGCGTTAATCTCTAGAACCTCTACACGACCAGCATGTTCGCATCTGAGACGGAAGCAAGAAGACAACTGCAGCAGCTGCGAAGCGGACCTCCGTTTGGATCCCAATCTCAACCCTGGGCATCTTCGAAGCGGTATCGCAGGTTTTAACATCTCTGTGTATATTCCTCCGACAATTGTCGAGCCTCTTAAAGGTCCTTCGCCTGCTCCATTCCGCAACGGCAGATCGAACGTCTTCTGCCACAGTCGTTACAGAATCTGGTTCTAGAGCACCTATATTGTATCAGTTCTCGATAATCAGATAGCAAAAGCAGGAAAGCTCAAACGTACATTGTCGGGCTACAACCACTTGTTCTCTCTACTAGAGCCTTGCAGTCAAAGCACTGCTGCCAGCCTAAGTTGTCTTTTGGAGATAGGGGTTGGCTTAGAGCAGGCTTCTTATCACACTCATTCCTAAGGGGGGAGGCCGCTTTACACCAAACACAGGTGGAGGTGCCGCAACAGAGGCATCTGGCCTGATATGCTGTGACCCGGCTGGGCGGAATCGGTACGCGGCACGTCTTCTTACTGCAGCGAGTCCAGTTGGTTGTCAAAAATTCAAGTTTTGCTTTGTCGTATTCGTAGAGTTCTTTTTCGGTCATGTACTCTTTTGCTAGACGCAGGGGTATCACGGTCTTGCAGCACGTGGGCGGGAAAAGGGATGGTTCCTGGGTAGCCCTGAAGAAGGAGCCCTTAAGGCACTTGACGCAATATAGATGATCGCATTCTAGCCTGATGGTGGGCTTCGCTGAATGGAAACGCCTTAAACATACACAGCATCGGGGTGCGAGAAACCATTCTTGAGAATAGGTCAAAATCGCTCTCAAGGTATCCATGTCTGTGTCGGGGATATCTGATGGGAGGGTTGAAAGATATATTTCGCTTGTCAGATGCTCGGTTCTAGACCGCTGTTTGTGGGTGGGGTTTGAGTATCGATCTCTGCTATCAAATGCAGCGAAGACCTTGCGCCGACTTAAGTTTGATCCACCGCAGGCGGGAGAGAAGAATGCATATGACTCAAGCGCATGCAGGCTCTGGGTACTGATGAGATTGTGAAGGGGAGCTTGCGAGCAAAACGACCTGATGGACGACGAATGGTTTGGTCGCTTAGGTCATTGGGTGTCATCTCCCGGACAAGGACTTTGGGATGCGACCAGGAAGCGCTACTTCGCCACTCAAAATGTAAGTTTGACATATTGTTGCTATTCTTGTGTTTGACTGCTGATGAATGATGTTATAATGTCGAAGTGTCCCCAATCCAACGGAATCATGTTCCGGTAGTGCATCCGCCAGTAGAAAGCCGCGTGTTCCTGGACCAACTGGGCGAAAAAGACCACATTGAATCATGTCATCAGCAAGGATGAATGCGTTTGTGCACAAAGCAGATGCATGTATTAATGCATTCTGTTCTCTGTGCTTTCATCTTGAGTATTGGTGGTCACTGCACGGTAGGCATGATATGCCTTTCTGGCTGGACTGCGTAGAGCTTTCACCCATATATGGGAGACTTCCAATAATCGAGCGCGCTTGATTCTGCCTTTCAAACTCACGTCAAAATTGATAATCTCATAGGTCTGACCCTTTTCGCGCGAAACTGTCGCAGTCATGATCATTGGGCCCAATTCAAAGCTTTTGCCCTCAATCATTCTCATGTAGGGCACTGCTGGTCAACACCGAGAAGCAGAACGAGGCTCTGGTGAGTGATGATCAGTCGACACCAAAGTAGGCTCGCTCCGATTAATGCCTCGAGCTGCGATACCATCGCTGGCGGAACTTTGGAATTTTCGGCTTGCTTTCTGTGGAGGACTAAACACGGGCACCGGGGATGAAGATAGGGAACGAAAGTGGTAGGACGAAGACTTATCGAGTCGGCAGTGGCACGAGAAGTATGGGATGTGAACAAGCCAATGCATGGTGCATCAAGGTACTTTATCTGAGGATTGGTTCAGGAATACAGCATGTAACACAGGATTGATTCCGAATGTAACCGGTTCAATTGCAGAGAATAAGGGTATCATATCAATCATGACTCATGAGCATAGATAGAAAATCATGATTTCAGCCAGGATGCACTGTGCGACAAGCTGTGACGCAAATCATTCATCATGAGAATACGAAGAGGGTATACCTCCGCGACGAGGGTAGGCCGGTGGCAGAAGATCAGGGCACATCATTCGACAGGCGCTTTCGAGAGTGCCGCTGCGAGAAAGTGTTGTAGAGTGTCTTTATGGCGCGAAATGTTGCTAAATCATACCATCCAAACGAAATCGTTGCTAGAATACGTCTCTTGCACGTAATAGGCTCGGAGGCAAAGTGGGCAGTTGAAATGGTCCTGTAGGTACCACTTCTCCAGGCATTCGCGATGGAAAACGTGTAGACACTTCAATTCTCGTATCTCTTGGGAGCGCTGGACGGACTCGAGGCAAACGACACTGTGGATTGACCGAGTGAGTAACGGTGATGGTGGTGGCTGCTGGGCTGACCATACCACATGAACTGTCCGTCGGCGCCCTCGGAGGGTAGCTTGGCTCGCGACCACCAATCCTCGAGGGTACGAGCTGGTGAGACAGCGTCCAGCTTACGCAGCTTGTCGTGCGAGTCGCCTTTCCTGCTTTTGGCCTTGGTGGCGGGGCGACGCTCGCGGCGATTGACGAAAAGGCTCAAGCTGAGCCTCATTGTTGTCTGTCAGTAATGGAGGGCAGAGGAATGTGGGCATTGACAGGTGAGGAGGAGGGAGGGAGGAAGGAAGGGAAGGGAGGGAGGAGAGGGAGGGGCACGGGGGAGGAAGTAAAAAAAGGATGGAGCAAACCAGCAACTTACAACAAACACATGATGACGAAGGTCACAAGTCCCAGACCTATGCCGAGAACAATGGCGAGATGGCTATACAGCTGGAGTTCTGATGAATTGTCCGACCACAACCCCATCGTCCTCACCGCAGGGACTATGTGGGCGGCCGCCGAGGGGTGGTGGAGGGGAAGGGAGTAGAGTACTTATTTTATTCTCCGGAGGAAAGAGAGAAAAGCGGAAATGACGAGGTTAAGAGATTTTCGTCAAGTGAAGCTTGTGCATAATATATACTTTATTCTGTCTCTCTCTCTCTCTCTCTCGATCGAGTCGCAATTGTGTTCACCCAGTTTGATCGTCGTCACTTGGCGGGGCTTGCGCGCGCCAACCAGGCTTTATCAGACCATCATTTAAAGTCTCAATCAGCAGATGCCGGTGGAACGGAGCAATCCATTCATCACGGTCGGAAGTGAAAGAGAAGTGGCCAGTCCAGGTCGTGAAACACGAGAATGAGGGGAGAAAGGAAACAAAGGAGAGGATAGATGATTGAGAGCGAGAGACATTGCCACCACTGCCACAATTGTACTCCAGCCGCAATCCCATCTTGAAGCTATCCCCGAACATTTTCTCTTTTTCTATGAGTATTTCATTTCCCACCCCCTCATGCATTCATACTCCATACATGCCTTGTCTTTGCTCACTTCATCTACCAATTCTGCGGAATGACCAGATGTGACCAGATGTGGACCTCCCTCGCCTCTGATTGCCTTCTTTACATTCTCTAAGAATTCTTCCTCATGCAGCTGAACCCAAGTAGAAGCCGAGGCAGCCACCGTGGACCAAGACAGTCTAAAGCATGCTGGTGACCTTACTTTACTTAAACTAGGTGCATACATACATACATACATATAGCTAGCATGACCACTGCAGCCTTTGCCTGGAGAGTGAAACCCGTGACTGGGAGCCAGCCACGGCCCAAGGGTTCCCACTGGTCATGCCATGGAGCCATGGATGTCGTGTCAGGTCATGCCACGACGATCCGGTCCAGTCAGATAAGGTAGTCTCGCGCAACTTCCCTTCAAGCGATCATGACGCAATCTACCTCAATTATGTCTTCTTCTCATCCAATTCTGGAGGGTGGAGGATGGTGAAAGATAACGCGACAGTACAAAAAACCACCCTCCCCGCATATCGACCACAGTAAGCGGTAACTTAACTACCCGGTAAGCGACTGCTGACATACAGCGCAATCAATAAGGAGGCCGACTTGGCAAACCGCTACAATTAAGCACGGTAGTCCTGGTCATCGCGGCGAGGAGTAGGTGCCTAACTTACTGGTTACTGATCTCGGGTCCGAGCGGCGCCAATCCTGTGCCCCCATGCATCATATCCCTCCCTTGTCGCTCGTGTCGGTCAGTGATCACCCATTTTGCGGGGAAATAAACATCGCCTCCACCCATGGCTGGGGAGCATGCGTGGTGACCACTTACAAGTGATCTGTTTCCCCACTCCAAGGATAATGGATTTCCGCAGTCCCAAACGCTTTTGTTTGACAGATCACAAGTGCTGCCAAATCCCCCAACCACCCCCAATTTTTGGTTCTTCTCACAGCTTTCGACTGGTTCACTGGGCTGCCATCTGATGTTGTTTGCTTCAGCTGCGAATCAAGCGGCTTTGATTGAGCGGGCTGTGTGATGTATGTACCCCATACACAGTACATACGATATCGTAAGATGCTCTAATTACGACTCTCGGTAAGGCAATTCACCGTCCACAAACAACAATCTCTCGAACAACAACCATGCAAATATCGCTACGTCGCCTTATAACGATTATCAGGATAATCAGATGAGTCGCCTATATGATTATTGCTTAGGTCGAGGTCTTACAGTACTTCAAAAAAAAAACCCCAGACACAAAATTGTAACCGCCTTATCACAGTCTCTATACCCCGCATGAATACATACTAGAATAGCTGCGATGATACTAGTAAAATAGAGAGATATCCCAAACAATCTAAGCTAAACCACCAAGGCTACGATATGCTCATATGGTGAAAAAGAACAAACGTCCGTCAATTCATTATGTATGAAAGTAACTGATCAGAGCTATGCCTCAAAAGATAACTCCTTCCCACCTGCATCCAAGTGTCCACGGTTAGACCACATAGACCTCAGTCCTTGTGCTCCACGTTTGTAACAGTGATACCCGTCTCCTCGGCCTTGTCGGCTTCTGCGGTCATCTTAGATTCCACATCCGCTGGCAGGTGGCCGAGAGCACGGCCACCGAACAGGAGATCGATCTCTTCTAGAGACTTTTGTTTGGTCTCCTTGAAGACGAAGAACACGGTGGGGAACGTGACGCAAATGTCTGTTGCACGGATTGATTAGCCAGGGTAGTGGGAAAGGAAGAGCCACGTTTATAGCAGCAGCTGAAAGGGTTTCGTGGGAAGGACTTACTGAAGGCCACAAAGATGAAGTAGAATTTCCAACCAATACTTGCCAGAGCGATGGGGGAGACCTGCGCCCACAGTGTACTGACGGTCCAATTCCCAACAGCTGTCGCAAAAGCCGTTCCTCGCCCACGGATCTGCATCGGCATGACCTCCGCCATGTATGTCCTATCAACGCATTTGCGTTAGTGTGCTGAAACAGGTCGCGAGTGACAGAAGTACTGTAAAGTGAGGGGGCTTACCAGCTGGTGGGGCCGAATGATAGAGAGAAGAGAACGGTGACGCAAAAGATGAAGAAGACACCGCCAATGCTATATCCTCGGTTGACTTCGCCAGTTTTGATCTGCGAGTTGAGAGCTGCTTCGCAGATCAGGGCAATGGTGATAGTGACCGTGCCGAAAAGCATAGGCTTCCGTCTTCCGACCCGATCAAGAAGAAAGACAATAAAGATCAAGTTGGTGAGTGGGCCAACGCAGTTATAAATACCAGCGACCAGCGTATTACGATTGCCTGTAATACCAAGCGTATTGTACATAATCGTCTGATAGTAGCCTATCACGTTGACCCCCGTCATCTGAGTGAAGACTTGGACAAGAGTACCGTGCCTAAGTAAAGCTCATTAGTATCAAAGTCAAGGGAAAGAGAGAAGAATCGAGTCGACGCACATCAGTCGATTCCGCCACTGGGGAACTTTGAACATGATCAACCATCCTGGAGCAGTCACAGCCTTCTCCGCCTCAATCGTGGCTCTAATCTCAGTGTGTTCCCTTTGAATCCAGTCGTCATTTGTGCCATCATAGTGAAGCTTTTTCAAGATTCTCAATGCCTCGTCATACTTCTCCTTCTCAATTAGATATCGAGGAGACTCGGGCATGAAGAACATTCCTATTGCCAGCAAGAGCGCCGGGACCGCTTGGAATGCCAATGGAAAACGCCATTGAAACTCGCTCGTGTCAGGCGCGTGGAGAGATCCGTAGCCGACCCATCTGAGAGCGAGGTCAGTTACGCCTTCTAATGAACAACCGAGCACCTAGAAGTACTTACGTGCTGACGATAAAACCAACTCCAATCATTTGCTGTGCCAGACCGACAATTAAACCACGGGAGCGTGGATGGGCGACCTCAGCTTGGTACACTGGAACTGACATAGACATCAGGCCAACCGCCCATCCAGCAAAAATACGGCCGACCAAGATCATAGACAGGTTCTGAGCTGCGGACTGTAAAATGGCGCCGACAAGACAGATAAAGGCTCCCATCTGGATAGTAAATTTGCGCCCAAAACGGTCCATCGTAAGGCCACCCTGGAGGGCACCAACAGCGGCTATATCGCCTCATGTTAGCCAAGCGCAGAATGAGAGAACTGAGCGGCAACACAGGGCCTCAAACTGAGTAGTGATAGAAAGAAGCCAGAGAACATACCTCCTCCCGAGAAAGTACTATTGATCGCTCCGATGATAGCTGATGTCTGAGTAGTATTGAAGAAGTTCAAAAAGTTCTTCGATTCAATTACATCAGTCATAACACCGCTGTCATAACCAAACAAGAAAGACCCTGTTGCCGCAAAGGCAGCCAGGGAGATGGTGAAAAATCGTCCCATGTTGGCGAAAGTGAAGGGAAGAAGTTGGTGGGGGCTTATTCCATGCGACGGGTGCAAGGCAAAAAAAGAAAGAAAAAAAAAGCAACCGGAGGGGAAAGGGTAGGCGACATTGTCTATATAGAGTCCATGTGCGCCCAACCCCGTCTGGAATGGATATTATCCTTGACTAGCTCCTTAGCCATGGGCTGACAGACTGGACAAAACCGCACAGTGGCGCGGGACAAAAGCTTGCAGTTGACCTTGAAAATCCGGGGACGGTTGACCAGATTGCCAATAGACCTCACGCCGTCTTCCCAATCTTGAATTAGTGGCTGATTCAATTGGCGAGAGCTCCACTAGGCGAGTATAGCGCTTGCAAGCAAGAGAAGAGCCAGTCTGTGTGCATTGACAATTCGTTGGCTGACATGTGGGGGGCTCGGCCAGGGCAGGGACAAATGTTGCCTCAGTGACAGGCTGGGGAGAGATTCACTATTAATTAAACCCCGCAGAAGCCAATAGGGTAAATAAAGTCCACTTGCCTCTGGCTAAATGCCTCCTCACACGCCACTGTTGGCCTTGTTCGCTCCGGGGTAGCGGCCCAGTCCACCGAGGCACGGTGGCACACAGATGTGCACCTGCCCACCCGACAGGTCAATTGTGTTCTAGGCCTATTTGCCTGTCTGAGCTCAGACTAGATCTGCGATCTCGTTCACTGCCCAGACCATGGAGAGGCAAAGTCGACAGGCAGCGTGGTGAAGGGAAGAGAGTGCGTCGCAGGTTTGAATAGCAAATCCTAAACCCGGCTGATTTCCGCGTGCTAACCACTCAGGTGACTCCTCACTCCTGATCTAGCGTCCTTCCCAATCACAACAGCTCGACTTTTGCCATGGATGAGGTTGTCCATCGACCACGTGGTGTTTGCACAACAGTGTCGCAAACGCATGAATTGAGCCAAGATGAGCCTAAATGCATGAGAAATAGACATCGGACCCAACGAATCGTGTTATGAACCATCTGAACATTAGCCGAGACTGACACTCCTACACGATGTCTAAATGAATTTTGAAATCTGCTGATCAAGTCTGGTTAGCACTTGTCGGGGAGAGACGATGACTGCGCACCTCGATTGATGGAAATCCCCCCAGCCGAGCCTGCAGCCATGCAGCTTACACTACTGTGCCATTTGCACCAATCCCCGCCGGAGAAGTTTTGACGGGCTTTCCCATATTAGGTAAGGTACCTTATAGTTGTCGGAGACCAGGGTCTGATAAATGATAGTCTAACCAGTTTAGGATACTGTCATTTCACTCCAGGCTGGCTCGTCCTTTCAACACTGACGTTCCCGGCTATTAACAGTCTCGTATTCTGGACTACTTACAATTATAGCGATCGGAGGCGAACCTAATTTTGTCAAGCTAGGTGCATGGAGACCGTGTCACGGTTCGATTGTGATGGTGTGAGTTAAATGTCAACTTGTTGACGGTCAGGACTCAGCTACAGGACTCAGCTACAGCATCTATTCTTGCGGACAGCTTGAATCGGCACAGATAATGACTTCACCTGGTATCAGACAAGCCGCTTTCGCAGAGACAATGTGCTTTATACTCATGTATGACGGCCTGCGTAGCTTCCCTACATCGTAGATGCGCTAGCAGGTATCACCCAGTTGCTTGGTAACCTTTCCGTTAGCCGGTTTTCGAAGCGCAGGGGATTACTTGCGCCGTGTTGCCGTGAGACTGTCGACTCGAGTCGAAGCCACCCAATGACATACAGACTGGCCCTAGTCAGAACAGCGACAGACCTCTAATCCATGAGAATCGATCTCAGGCAGATCGTCCAGACGCAGATTATCCGTTCAACCGAACCGTATCTGGCATATTTGGTCGGATCTAATCAGATAAGCAAGTAAGATTTTTCCGGATGGACCACAGAGATTGACGTCATCGAGAGAGTAATCCTTGCCTGCTCAGTCATATTGTATCAAAAGATACCGGCAATAAGGTCACATTACCGAGAAAATGCTTGGAGCGAAGTCAGGACAGTGAGCGAGTACCTGTGTCAATTGACTCTGTTCCTGGTTTCCAACTAGATTGCCGACCCCGATCCGGACCAGTCTGGTTCCACCAAGGTCTCTTCCCGGCCAAAGGCCAGCCATGACCATCACAACAACCTTACCTATTTTCTGGAAACTCTCACCCAATCCACAAAAACAATCCTGTATACTCAACGGAAGCTGCGCTTGTCTTAATCCAATCAAAGATGGTGTCTACAGGTCGATCAAGTACCGTTCCCCCGCCTTCAACTTCATCTCCCGCTCATTCAGACTCTTTCATACGACCCAGGCAGCCAAGCCTTGACCTGGAACGCGATATTCTATCCACGCGTGGCCAGCGCCTTGCGGGCTTGATACGGCGGCGCTCCTTATCACTTTATGACTCCGACGGCTTTGACGAGAGCGACCGATGGGATGAGTCAATTGCTCCCCGAGAGCGTATGGACCGACCTGCCTTCGAACGCGCGAAGCGATTGATTGGCGACAGAAGCCCCTTTTATCGATGGTACGCTTTAGCTTCCAAGAACACAGTTGAAACGCTGACAGTGATCCCAAAGGCAATCTTTCTACCGCCATCCAGCCACTTTGCAAGGCTTGCCACAGCCGCTGTATGTAGCCCCTTCTGCATCTAACGTCTATGGTTGGCGGTTGCTGAGCATTCTCCAAGACGACAATACTACGAACGCAACAATGACCTCATCTCCCAATACGCTTACATCGACCGATTGCTGGACTCGTCCTTGCCACACCGCTTGATAGTCGATTACCATAAACCTTGCGGCTTGTTGGGACCGACTTCTGCATATACCAACAATGGCAGCAGCACACGGGAGTCAGAGCCGAACACCGTTCCTGAGAATGGTTTGGACCCTAGTAATGATACGGCTAAAATCAAGCGAACCCCACGCAATCTCTATCGCATTCCCAACGAAGGCACCCCTCTTCTATCACCACCGCTGGAAGATAATGTGTCAGCACGGCCTGATATCATGCCCAAGCACGACGAGTATGTGGAAAGCGGAGATAGAATAGTCACCATCGCCATCTATGTCAACTTCATCGCCAACATAATACTATTGGCTGCCAAAATCGTCGTCATGTCAATGACAAGCTCTCTCTCAGTGCTTGCGAGCTTAGTTGACGCAGCATTGGACTTCCTCAGCACTGCCATTGTTTGGGTGACCACCATTTTGATTAACCGACAGGACCGCTACCGGTATCCTATCAGTCGACGCCGGCTGGAGCCACTGAGTGTTCTCGTTTTCGCAGTCGTTATGATGACATCTTTCGTTCAAGTGGCACTGACATCTTTGAGTCGGTTGCTATCGTCAGACCACTCTGTGGTAGAGCTCACGATACCGTCTATCGCAGTCATGGCCAGTACGGTGGTTATCAAGCTGATTTGCTGGTTCTGGTGCCGGTTGATCAAGAACTCAAGTGTCCAGGCTCTGGCGCAAGACGCCATGACAGACGTAGTTTTCAACCTAGCGAGTATCTTATTCCCTCTAGGTAAGTTTGACCGACCTATTATTCATGCTACATCGACCCTATTGACCAATATTCAAGTTGGCTCATTTACCAATACTTGGTTCATTGATCCCCTCGGCGGTTTGCTCCTCTCCTTATATGTTATCTGGAATTGGAGTGGCACGGCCAGCGAGCATATCGGCCACCTTACCGGCGCCGCTGCATCCCCGAAAGATCACAGCATTTTTCTTTATATGACCATGCGTTTCTCCAAGGCTATCCTGAAGATTCAGGACTTGAAAGCATATTACGCTGGTGACAAGCTTAATGTCGAGATTGATATCGTGCTCGAGCCCAAAACGAGATTGCAGGATAGCCACGACGTGGGGGAAAGCCTGCAGTACATGATTGAGAGTGTTCCGACCGTGGATCGAGCTTTCGTTCATCTGGATTATGACCCATGGAACATCCCCAGCCATATGAACCAGCAAGAGGCATAGATACCTGTTTAGGGTAACATGTAAACAACCCGACCGGCGTCCCGACGGATATAAATGAATCGAGCCTGTGCATCGGGTTGGCTGAGTGTATTTATCTATGGGATTTGTCTAGAACTGGAATTGAATACGAGTATCCTGTTGGTTTGCTGCAGATGACCTGTCAGATTCCGCCCATCAGATAAGGATAATCAAGGGGCGGATGCCCTCCGACTTCCGCAGCGTGTCGCACAAGGTGACAAAAGGTCAAGGGATGATCAGCGCATCTGAATGCTGTCAATTTGTTCAATAGCGCGCAACAGACGCAGGATCCCGTGATGTCCCAACCATGCCTATTGTGGAATGTTGATTGTTATCCATGATCGCGTGGTGATTTACTCCGCTCCGTTGTTACACCCCAAGCTTACGGGGCGATTGCATCACGCGCCGTAATTGTGCGCGAAGGCGAGGGAAGAATGATAAAACAAAGCTAGACATGCCCTTCCATATGATCGCCAAGTGTCAATCACATGTATGGTATGTAACGTTATCAATCAAGCTCAAAGTAAGAAGTAAGATCACGATTAAAATGGTGACTGTATGTAAAAAAAGAACAAAGGAACAAAGGGACCAAACGCCTCGTGGTGAGCGGAAGTGGGTCAGCCGCGGGCGGCGCGAGGGAGTAAGAGACAGAGTGAGTGGAGAGGGAGCGGAAAACGGGGGCGGCCTGGCCATAGGTACAGTAACAGAAAACCAACTTTACTTACCACGCCTCCGCCCGCGTCACACATCGCGACGCGATTAGATCAAGCAGAGCGTCTTTTCCGTCGTGCTCTTGATTTCGAGGCACGTTTTCCCACCACCTCAATCCAGACAGACACTTTCGACTCTCCATCCCTCTCTATCCCTTCAATTAGCTCACGGGATCTATATCTGGGTCTCGTTGTATCTTTCGTTCTTCAATCTCTTTTCTTATTTACGTGCTTTCCCTCGAATACCGCCTATGCCGTCATCTTAACCTCCGCGCTGCTGCCCAACATGTCTGATCTGGAACACACTGCTGAGCCAACGTGCTC